GACGATGCGGCTGGAACTCCGTTCTCCTCGGATAGCGAAATCGAAAGTGATGGCGACAACTGCGGCGATTGCACCTTGGGTGACTACGAAGGTGATGAGTAATTCCTAAAACAGTCAATAGTTTCAAAATGAATAATATTCACTGCATAGGCACCGAAGAGGTTGTGATCTCTGGAATTTGATGATTTATCCTGAAGGTCGGTCGATGCCTTCGGCCACTGTTAAGCAACACCATTTTGTCTTTAAAAATGTAAAGCTGAATCCATTCAAATTTTTAGGTCATTGATTTACATCAGTTTCAATTTACAATTTATACAGGATATTCGAGTTTAGGGTGATGTTGTCGGCAGATATTTCCAAATATTCATACGTTATTTCCAAATTTTCAGCGTTGTGTCCAAAGCAACTCAACGCTTTCACAACAGGTACAATTATATGAATTATCTATACAGAGTTACTTCAATCTCGCTGGCGCCTGCCTTACGAGCCTCGTTCAACATCAAAGATGTAACAGTGATCCCAGTGATCTTTGGTGCAGGTTGAGTGCTGACGAGCGAACGGCGTCACACGCCGAGGATTTACTCACGTCGGGGTAGATTTTGTGTGCGTCGATACGGACGTGGTTTCAAAATCAGCTTTCAACCGGGCTTCACCGACCTCGCGGGCAGCTGGGATGATTGAGTTTTGTTGGCATTCGTAGGGATCTGTAGCATCATACAGGTAGGGTTCGAGCTAGTACTTCAAGATGTAAGAAGGTCCTCCGATATGTACCGACCTTGGTGTCGAGGTGGCGCCATGTTTGGTGGCAAAACAAGGATGAACAAATTTGAATACGACCAGAGTGTATTGTGCCGCCATTACAGGTTGAAAGTTGATGGCTTGATTAGTTGGCTTAAATTGCCACGTAATTTGGCAATTTATGTGACTGTGCAAGTAATCTAAAGACCAACAACTTGCCTTGCATCTATACAACTATTCCAACATTGAATTTACATATTTTCGAAAAATAGTCGTTAATTCGAAAGATCTGGAGAAGCCCAACACAAGCCACGGTATGGATGATTGGTGAATCAACAACGGAGAAATTGGATTTACAGCTAAACGAAGTTGTCTTTTTGAGTCCCTTAGAATTGAAATATAAATGATGGAGATACGTACTAGTATTGGAACACACGGATATGTTAAAGTTTGAGTGTGAACCTTATTATCCGTACGAATTTTCCGATGTATCCGGATTCGTGGCGGTTTTACCAATTTTCCCAATGGATAATAATATTCGCAGCCGAATTTGATATAACGTCAACCTTGTGAGGTTCAACTAAAATAACCATGACCATATTCAATAAAACGCCGACGCCTCAGAATGTCGTACTCCCTCCGTCCCACAACAATTGCGCAAGTTTGAGGAGGGTGTACATAACGGGTAATTTAATTTTGAAGATAAATTCAACACGAGCAAATTCCTCCTCAATTCAAAAATCTACACCTCTGATTAGATCATTGCAAAGAGCGTGCCAAGAGCTTTCTATGTGTGTAAGTATGAGCACGAATCTCAAAACGCGGGTCATTTTGCCCAGTTACAGTCAGCATACAAAATTCCATATAAAACATTAATAAGATATGGCGCACATTCAAAATGCCACCAACACGACCCGACCTGACGAACGAGGAGCGCGGAGCCATCCTTCGGGAAGTCCTGCTTCAAAGCAACAACGGTTTCCCCGCTCGACTGCCAAAGGGCACAAGTGATATGCTGGCCGCAAAATACCACTGCCATGTGTCAACGATACGCCGATTCCTTGCCTTGGCCAAGGCACAAGGCATCTGTCATGGTAACTTGAAGGTGTCTGTAGCTTACAAAAAGAAAGGCAGCGTAGGCAAGAAAGTGGCCTATACAGCCGAGCAAATTGAGCCCAAGCTGCTGCAGGTACCTCTTGCACAAAGAACAACGCTACGATCAATCTCTAAAAACACTGGTATATACGCATCTTCGACAACAACTAAGCATATCATAGGAATAAGTCGCGGCTCATTGCACCGTTATCTAAAGCTCGGCTTGTTTCGTGCACACTCCAATGTCATTCGTCCGATTTTGACGGACGCGAACAAGTACTGCAGACTCAAGTTTGCCTTGAGCATGGTCAAATCTGCATGGTCAAATCTGACATGTAGCTTTCGGACATGTTGGCCTCCGTGCACCTTGACGAAAAATGGTTTTACCTAACAAAAACCACCCGCAAGTACTATTTGGTGCCTGGTGAGCAAGAACCACAACGAAAGTGTAAAAGCAAGAGGTATATTACAAAGGTTATGTTTCTCAGTGCTGTGGCCCGCCCCAGATACAACGACGAAACGAGCACATGGTGGGGCGGCGAAATAGGCACGTGGCCTTTTGTCGAGTCCGTGCCCCCTCAACGTGCGAGCGTCAATCGCCCAGCCGGCACCTATGAAACGAAGCTGCTGACGGTGACCAAAGACGTGTATCGAGCCCTTTTTTCTTGAGAAGTCCTACCCTCCATTGTGGCGAGATGGCCCAGCGACAACAAGACCGTTATGCTTCAGCACGACAACGCTCGCGCACATGTGACCCCGATGGACCCGCAACTCAAGGCAGCCTTCGACGAATACGGCAAGGACGGCTGGTCCTTCTCTCTCGCACCGCAGCCGCCAAACTCCCCGGACACCAACATCTTGGACATTGGATTCTTCGCTGCGGTTCAGTCTCTACAACAGAAGAAGTCAGCCAAGACGATTGATGACCTTGTCGCCAACGTTGGTCAAGCATTTGACGAGTACCCGATGGAGAGCCTCGGCCGGACGTTCCTCTCGCTTCAAGCATGCCTTGTGGAGGCCATGAGCCTCTTTGGTGACAATGCATACAAGTTGCCCCACAAGTGAAAAGAGAAGCTGGCTCGCCAAGGATAGTTACCTCAAAATAGGTAGTGCCCGACGGATGTGTATGACATGGGTATGCAAAAGATGGTCGCACAGGATGCTGCCGTTATGGAGCGTACGTTGATACGTTGATGGCAGAGGTCGAAGAGGCGAGGAACATTGACGAGCTGGCCCGCGAGCTCGAGAGCATTGCTCTGTGTGACAGTGATACGGCGGAAGACATCATGCGTGCAATGGGCGAAGTAGGAATTGAGCCAATATACATAGATGGTGAGGAGTAAGTACACACATGTGCCGTGTGGGTAGTGTGCAGGTATTGCGAGAGGGGGCTCGGTAGGAGGGTTTTCGAGGTAACCCCCCCTCCTGAATCGAATGGCACTGTCAGAATTGCTTTTTCCGCCATTTGATTGGTTCAGTGACAAGGTTTTTGCATGATTTGATTGGACAGCCGTATCGTTACACCTTTTCAAATTTATACCGAGTATAATGTCTTGAAGTGGCTGTATTATTATTCGGGGAGGAGTACGCCATTTTCCTGATTGGGTATTTCTCAAGATCGTCCACCGAGTGGAAATATTTCTCACGATCGTCCAAGTTGAACGCACGTGAGGTATTTTTATTCTAAATCGTCCATCGCGGCATGATTGGCTAAAAGTCTAACAAGCCTAA